ACCAAATGGCGAAGTGAGAGGGACCACAGTCAATAGCAACCAAATAGAGCTGGCTGCCAACATGCGTAACATCTATCCCCAACCTGTTCCAAACATTGGTAGTACTCAAATTTCCTTTTTGCCATTGCACCAGTGCCGGGTCAATTGACTGGCACGCCTTGCACCTCTGCACTACTGTCCTAACATCTGCCTCTTTCACTGCTGGGTCGACCATCTTCGAGACATAGAGCATTTGTTTAATCCCGGGATGCCCAACACTGTTCATGTACGCTCATGATCCACTCGAGGTCCATACCGAGCGCAGAAACTGTACACGGCAGCTGCAGAGGTTCAGACTCTTTCTGAGCAGCAGTCAACCAATGCTGTGTCAATGCATCTGCTCTGTTGACTGCCGATTTAACTAATGCTACATCCACAGACAGGTTGTACTTTTTGATAGTTTCAGTCAGCGTGGCGAGCCGCCTTCATATCAACATCTCGCTCGATGCCTTGGTGGTCAGTCATGCTCTTCTGGTAAGTGTATCTGATATCCAATGCTGAGTGCATGCTGAGTCTGACGATGTGTAGCACTGTTGCTTGCCATTGGAGCGCCAGGTTAACCCCCCTTCAGAGTGGCGTCTAGTTCAGCCAGGTTTATGTGTCATGCATCATTCTCAGGTCTTAACCAGCAGGCATCTTCTATGATGGACTTGTTATCCTCAAGGGCGACACCCATGGCCAACGAGCTAGCATCCACCCAAATGGTGAGCTTGTTCCCCTTAATGCACCAGTCACCTCACACAGGATTGTCTTGCATCACTCTCTCCATAGTTTCAGTTATCATGCATCTTAGGGTAACGTTGTGCACCTCATTGTCCCATCCTGATGAAACAGAAGTCACACGGCGCTTTATGGCTGCTGCCGCCACTCTGAGCCAACTGCATACGGGAAAATGGCCTACCAGTTTCCTACACATGGAGAAGTTACTTCAACAAGTGATCACTGGTGGGACTTCCGGGATGTCACTGCCTCGCCTCCAGCAAAGTTTTTTCCATCACTATTGACGTGTAGTCCGAGTACATTTGTTCCATCCTGCAGTGGCTCTGGAGTCTTGCACACCAAGCCAAAGCGTTTCAGATGTTCCTTAACCCTCATTGAAGAGGCCATGTTTTCATTGACGTAGACATCATCAACGTAGGATGACATTGCCCTTTGAATTTTCTCACCCTGCGACATGACCACATTCATAATCACTGACATGATTTTTGGGGCCACATTAAGACCAAATCCCAATCGAGTGAGGCAATATCTCCGTCCTTTTACCATGACAATCTGAAAGGGCCAGAGTGATCGGTAGACTCGGACTTGGAGGTAGGCCCTTCTTAAATCGAGGGTGGCCACATTGCTCCCTTGCTGTCGCCATTCCCGCAATTTCTGGGCACAAACGTCCGCGTTGGCCTTATATGCATCTACAATGTTATTCAATTCCCTGTAGTCCATGACTGGTCTCACTTTCCCCTTATTCTCTTGCACTATTGCCATCAACAGAATCAGTCCTCAAGGCGGCCCTAGCTCCTCCTCAGGGTACGGCACAAGCCAGCCATTTGCTATCCAAAGCTGCAATTCATTTTCGTATTCGCTCCTGATATGCTCTGGAACCAGGTACTCTGCTATTTTATTTTTCAGTGGCGTGGGCATTCGGCCACCCGCCCACTTCCACATTGCGGTCCATACGCGCATGCGCTGGTCGAAAGTTGTACTGAAGTCAGTTTGTTTATTGCAAAGGATGCTCTGAGTTCTCAGCGGCAAAATTCACCTCACCTGAGCCGCTTATATGGACTCCTCCCAGTTTCATAATCACGTCAGTCCCCAGCAGGAGGTCGAGCCCTGGCAAGGTTTGGTGTACAATCAATACCTCCACGGTTACCGGGTGTATATGGTTGATTTTCAGCTCCACTGTTTCGACACCTAGGCTGGTAAGCGTTTTTCTGTTGGCAGTTACAATCCGTGCCTCTCTAGGTCTCCACAAGCAACACACCTACTTGCACATTAATGTCTTTGAACACCCGGGGTCCACCAGGGCCATGCATCTCCGTCCAACGAGCAGGTAGCGCCTCAATGTTGCACTTGCCCAGGGAGGAGGCTGGCATCTTTTCCCCTGACTTGTTTCCCGGGCACTCTGATGCAAAGTGACCCATCCTTTAGCATCTGAAGCACTGTAACCTTCAGCGCAATCGTCGTACCTGATTATCCATCCTCGTTGGACGTCCCTGGGTGCAGCCATTATTCAGGTCGTTGGGGTTGGCACACGGACAACACACAGAGTTTCTGCCATTCTGGTCAGCAATTACTTCCACGGCATCTGCATGTGGCTGCTGCGATAATTTGGCTTAAAGGTCTATGGTCCTCAACCAGGATTTCTCAAGCTCTCACACAGAGCTGGTCAAAGTGTCCATTCGCGCCGATGCCCGAAGCTGCTGCCTGACATGCTGTGGCAACCCCGCAACAAACGTGAAGGCTATCCATCTTTCGGGTAGTCTTTCTCCAAGCTGGTGAGCCAGTCTTTCGAGTGCTGCCAGGAATTTTTTTTCACGAAGTTGGCACGTCACAAACTGTTCAAATGCTACGAATGCATCTACGGCGAACGCAGTGGTGAGTGCATGCTTGATTTCCTCGATATCAACTCTCTGCTGAGTTGCCGATACACAGCAAGAGCCCCACCAGTCAACCTCAATGGGAGAATGCACTTGACCCTTTCTTCATCTGCCAGCTCACAGATCATCTCTACTCACTCAAGCCATTCTATAATTGGTTCATCCGACGTGGTCCCTCCAAACTCAGGAATCAACCGCAGGTCAAAAGGCCTCCTTGCCATTGCTGCTGGATTCAAATAAAGAGTGTCAATGTCTGAGGTTTGCCGAAATAGCTTGTTTAAATGTGTTAAACAAAAAAAAAAAAAAAAAAAATTTCATCTGCGACAGGCACAGTCTCCACTTCTGAGATGAACTGCCCTCCTTCTCATTCTAGCCCTTTACATAGAGCTTGGTAACTCGCTCATGCAAAACATCAACAAGCCAGCTACCAATCAGTTTCTGCGCCTGCCCACCTCCACTCGCTTTGGTGGTGTCAAGTTGACCGACCAACTCATTACACCAACACTTAAACCCAATCAAAACTTTGAAGATATTTTTATTAGTCTATTCTCAGACAAATATTACTATATATCAAACTGAAATTTTACTTAGTATTTCCAATATTAAATACACAATAATTTTAAAAGTGCAAACTAAGACAATGTTCATTTTATCTTTTTCAATGGGGAAAGGTTCCAAAAATTTGTTAAGAGGAATTAATAAAATTTATTAATTCCTCTTAAGATTAAATCACTAATCTTTGTATATAGTTAAGCTGAAAAAAATCATTAATTTAATCCTTGATTTATTTTTCATCTTGCCAGATTAAACAGCAAGGATTTGGGCAAAGGCTGCATCAAGTCAGAATTATTCATTGTACCCCACTCAGTGCCCAAGAATTGACAAACCATTATCAACAGCAACTGAAGGATTTACATTTAGCACTGTAGCAACAGGAAACTTGCCTTTGTATGCTTACATTTTTTCATTAACATTTGCACAAGTCTTTTTTTTTTTTTTTTTTTGTAAGTATTCTTATTCATAACAATCCCACCTTTATCTGAGATGGTGATTTTTCTATTGTTTTTTTTTTTTAACATACACATTATCAGTGGTATGTATGTTTTCATCTTTCTATTATATGAATCTATAAAATAGGAGATTTTAAGTATTGAAATTATTTGACTACCACAGTAAAACTGATTTCACACACCTTTTTTAGTAGTTAAAATAGCTGCAACTTGTAAATTATTTAAGTCCTTACAGCCAATGGAGCTCCTCAAATAGCCTTGTTGTATTGTTATAGTCATCATTTGTAATAATAACATTTCTAAGTTGCTAGTAATTATTTCTCTAAGATTCATCTAGCAGAGATGAGTTATTTTTAAACATATCACTATGGTTCCCTGGTTAGAGACAAATGTTACAGTTATTTAATATCAGTTCTATGTTGCACAAAATCAATCAAATTAGGGAATCAGCCACCATGATTATATTTTAGTTTTTGGTTTATATTATAAAAGATTTTATTTGAAAATTATACTATAAAGGAGTGACTTTATGCAGCATAAAAGATAAAACATTTTTAAGTTTTCTGTGTTTTTTTTAAGTAAAAAATAAATTCTCAATCCTCAAACTCTGTCTAATCATTGTTATAAATGAGATCATTTAAAATTAGTGCTCACAAATACAGGTAAACAAAATCATTCATCCATATAGAACTGTTATGATTTTTAATCCATTTGAGATGGTTTGTGTTAGATTTTTTTCATGATCAAATCATGTTTAAAAATAATTATTTTCTTTCAAATACCAAGATTTATCTAAGACATCAACTTCTTACTATCCATTTTAAACAATATTTTTGTCTGCCATCTTCCATAATTGAATCCATAATAAATGAAATAAGATTTTTTTATATCAACATATGATTTGATTCCTATAAAATGAGACATGAACTTCTGATTTGTTGGCCATAACATTTTAGCGTATCATTCTGAGCCCAGTTTTATTTACTTATATACTTGTTATATATATATATATATATATATTGTACTTTATTTGCTGCTCAGATTACATTTACTTCAGGTGTGCATAATCGATGCAGAGGATCTGAGTTATTTGTAACAATAAATAATTTTTCATAAACAATGCACAAAGGTAAATTCTATAAGAAAGAAAGAACTCACAAAATCACAGATTTTATTTAAGAAATTAGAGTGTACATTAACATTAGACAAAAAAGTAAAAAATTGCAGATAAGTTTTCCAATGGAAAAAAATTACAAAGATGAGTGAATGTCAGCAGCATTTTGTGAATAACAAAATGGTCAGTGTTTGAGGCAGCAATGAACAAATAAGAAAGATGCATGAAATTGGTGAAAAGTGTTCAGAATGGTTTGACACTTCCCTCAACAATAATGGCACGATCCAAGTTACGTGTCAAAGCCAAACAAATATTACTGAGCTTGGTCTTCTCAACTTCCAGCATTTTCTGGAAAATAAAGAATTATTCAACAGACCAGGAGAAAACAAATAAGGATGTTCTACTGGAAAATTTTTGCATTAAATAAATTGCTAAAAAAATACTAATAATCTCATATTTTCTGAAAATATTAAAAATGTTTTCAGAAAATACATGAGATTATTATCACTAAAAGAAAAAAATAGCAAAAACACACCCCATGTGAAAAAGTTCTAGTAAAAAAAGTACATGCCAAAAAACACAAAACATATTTGTGATTTTTTTTTCATAAGAAAATTTTGCAACAGAAAATTATGGGTTGTAAAATACAAAAAGCCAGTTTATAAAGAGTATTTTCAAGCTACCTTTTGGTTTTCATCTCCTACAAGGCTAGCTTCTTTAGTCAATTCTTCTACACAGTGCATCAATTCATAAGTTTGTTGGCTGCTAATTACCACCTGAAATTCAATTGAAAATGTCTAAATATGGCATGTACATCCATAATACAGACTCTAAGATCAAACTAAAAAAATGACAAAAGGTCCAATGTACCTCATACAAAAACAAAACAAGAATGGCTAAGTGCAGTTAAATAGACAACTAGCAAAATACAAATTTAGTAACATATAGATTGAACTTTAGACAATCCCTACCAAATTATCAAAATAACTAAGGAGGAAATTCTCAAGTACCAGAAATTAAATAATACTAACTTGTTCAGCTTCCAAAAGTGGCAGTGCATCACAGAGAAGAGTTACCCAGAAGCTGTAAGAGGAAAAAAAATTAAAATATTTACAAAAAAGATATTAAAGCAGTATAAAGTCATTAAAATGCATTCAATATTTCATTGTAAAGAGAAAATATATATGGATTTTGATCTGACAGTGTCTCTATTTTTTATAATTTCATTTCAAAGGAAAGTATTTTGACATATTTGTGATCATTTTTTAGAATGATCACAAATGTCAAATATTTTAGTGTCAAGCAGAAGTTATTTGTATCCCCATAGCAATCATGCAACAGATGATACTCCTAAAAAGCTTTGCATGTTGAAGACAATATGAAATTACTTACGCTTTTGGCGCCAGTCGTGCACTAAGCAGTGAAACAAGCAAAATTGCTGCTTCTTGGATGTCTCCATCTTCATATAACTTATGAAATTCTCGATACTGACCTGCAAAAAAAAAAAAAAAGAAGGAGAGAGAATTTAAAGTTTACCCACTCATCTTTGCTTATTAAGTTACAGGAAGATTTGGGCTTATTTTTTTTATTCACCAACACATGGAAGGTTTTATGTCAAACATTTATCACTGGTATTATGAAACTAGCTTAAAAGTCACCCTATGAGGCGGCATTTAAGCTGGCTCTTGATTGCACCTTCATCAAAATAGGTAGGGAGGTGTATATGCAATAGGCAACAATAAACTAGAGAAGAACTCAAAATTGATCACTGAATTTAAGTATTGTATTAATATATAAGCTTACCTTTTAAAAGTTCAACGATAATTTTTCTGTTGCCATTTAACTTAAAGACAGTTTGGTGTACATAGGTCCTTACTTCCTTTACAAACAATTATTTTTATTTCATGGTTGATTTTCACTGGATTTTGCAAATTTATTTCCAAGTTATAAAATTTGTTATCATGCAAAAAAAAAAATTGTCGCAAAAAATCACATAAAAAAAAATATAAATAAATAAAAATCACCAAAAACAATCGCAGTAATGAATTGTGTGCCTGGATCCAGCCTGATTCCAAAATGGCATGATATGTTGGCCTATGGCCTCTAGGAGTAAAGTTGAAAAAGTGTGACACTGACATTCACATTTATCATATAAGATGAGTCTTGCTTAGAGCTGCAAATAATGGATTCATTCTCTTTTTTTTTAATACTAGTTTGATTGGTTTGGTTAGATTTTGTTTAACAGTGTGTCAACCCTAATGGGTCATTTTACGCCAACCAGGTGAATACATATATACTTTCCTTTTTTTCCAATAGTTAGACGAGCTCAAATTAGTAGCTACAATTCATTTTAAATAGATTGTTTAATCTGTCAATTTGAACCGTTTAAACCCGTCCTCCTTATATGCACATACATAAACAATTTTTAAAGGAATTTTAAACCCTATTATCTGACCAGGGGCAACATCTTTAAAGAATTTTTTTTATATTTGTAACATTGTAGCATTTACTATGTTTGATAATTTTTACATTTAATCAGAATGTGCTTAACCGTCAATCTATGATTGCAATGGGTGCATTAACTCTAGTTAGCAGAGTGTCCTCTTTTCACTCTTTTAGTAGTTTTGTGTTTTCTTGTCTGACCCTTTATTGCTGTTCATAAAGTTTGTTTTTTAGAAATGTGTCCCATACTGCTTGCCATTTGCTTTTTATAGTCATTAATTTTCTATAAAAAAAAAATGTTGGTTATGTAGGCATAGTATAAAAATTTGATATACATAATTTTTATGTCAACATAGACTTGTATCCATGAACACATGCTCTGAGTGAATTGTTTAACTAGAAATGTCTATTTGTTTGTTTCTTCATAATAAACTATAACGAGAATCATGCAAAGTTCCCAAGATCCTTTAGAAAAATTACATTTCAACAACCGACTGTAGGCATATGGACTTGTTACAGTCATTGAATCATTAGACGAAACATACATTTCAATATATGAGATCTCCTAATTATATAAAAAAACAAACAGGTTGAATGCCCTACAGTACATGATCTAGTGGATAAAAGCTCACTTGGTTTTCAGGGGGTTGTGAATTCAGTCTGTAGGTTATAAAAAAGCGATCATCAAAAATCCTGAAACTGCATGGATCAAATGAAGGGTTCCACTTGACATTCGAAGGTTACCAAATGGGATAGATATCTGGGGAAAGCCACAAGATGAAAAAACAATGATGATGAAGAAGACTGACCTGAATGAAGTAATGTATAAAAAAAATTCTTTTTACATAGTTAACAACATTAAACCAAAAAGAAAAAATATTCATAATAGTAAAGAAAAAGGTTGCCTTGCAGATAATTATTGCTGAAGTAAGTTCAATCCTCACTGGGTCATATAAATCTTCAAACTCATGCCAGTCATAGCTAAGCTTAGGAAATATTAAGAATGTTTACTTACCAAGAAATGTTAATTTGCTACTAAGAAACATGGAAGAACCAAGATTTTCCAAAAGATCCAAGTTAGAAAACTGACCAGTTTCACTATATTCTGTGAGGATTCTGGAAAAAAAAAACAAAACATATTTTCTGATGTGCAAAAGGTTACTAGTATTAGGTAGGAATTTGCCTAGTTTGACAAAGTACAGCAACTTCACATGGCATCAATTCCCTAAGTGGTCAGAAGACCTCTGGACAGATGAGGAGTCATGCCATCTTGTATGTGAGTAAAGCCTCTCAATCTTGCTCCATAAATGCTTCATAGCCACACTATTTACCAGAAATAGTGAGAATGTTCTTTGTCAGATCATTATATTAATAAATATATATGCAAGTGATATGATTTATGAGAGCACCACCAAAAATTTAGATGACCAGAACCTGGCAGCTGATTTCTCTTCTGACTTTGCACAGGAGAGGAACTGGCTTGTAACATTCAATTCCTCCAAAACCAAGCTAGTAATGTTTCATCATAGAGCAGACTCTGATTTTTCTCCACTCTTGATGAACAATTGTACTCTCAATAAGGCTCCATTACATAAAACGTCTGTTGGAACTTACACCAAACCACAAATGTAACTTGTATATATGTTAGACACTGGAAAAATGGTTGTCTCTCCTGATTGGCTGTTTTTGTTTAGCAACATATCAATCACTATGGGTTATTTAATGTCAAGATTTAAATATTTTGTACACATTTTATTTTATTAATAACAGTTTTAGTGACACAAGTCTTAGTAATTAACCCATAGCTGGAGGGAGAAGAGGTGGATTCATATCTTTCCCAAGGGTATTCATGTGTAAGTGAATATAACAAACCCAGCTGGAATTGAACTCTGCTCTCTGATTAACAACTCAGAATCATCATCCAAGCTTACTGCACCTGGTATTTCCAAGAAGTCACCCATCCAGAGTCAACATCAGTGATTGTATGGGAACTGATGTTTCAACATGATGTGGCCAGAAGTGTTGTCTCCCTTGACTCCTCCTGCCAAGTTGCATTTCTATAAGAGCCAGTTCAGACCAAAAATGCAGTATTGCTGCCACATCTGGGCTGGGACCGAGAAATCCTCACTTTCCAGCCTCGATCAAATTGATTGTGCTGCCTTGTGGGTGATGAATTGTTTTCCACTCTTCGACCCCTTTCCTCACAGATGAAACATTGCTAGCCTCTCATTAATATATCACTATTTCCATAGCAGATGTTTAGGTGAACTACATTTCTTAATTCTACCAGTCTAGACATTCACAGCTAGGATCCACCAGACCACATACACTGAAACTACTCATCCTCATTCCCTTCATATTCCAATGGTAAGGAGTGAATTCTACTCAATTATCATCTCCAGAATTGTTGCAATGTGGAACAAAGTCATGAGGGGATGCTGCTTTGATCATTATAATCTTAACCCCTTCAACTTGAGGGTCAACTATTATTTATCCTACATATCCTCATAATATGCAATTCTTGCTCCCACTCTATACACCTTTACAACATCCCCATTCAGTAACCCTCTACCTTGAGTGGCACTTAAGACTTGTATTGGGTGAACAATAGTAAAAAAAAAAAAAAAAATCAGAAATGGGATGTCACAAACACCTGACACCCAATATCATATTCAGACTCCAATAATTCATATTGCCTTGCATATCATGTGATGTTCACACTCAAATATCAGAACATAACCAACATAAGCCTGGACATGACAACATACATATCTACCAGCACGTTTACATACTTCTATATCATGACTTTTGAAATGTTAGTTTAATTTTATTCAAGTATGTTAGCTTTGGTGCCTTCATCATCTAGAATAACTTGAGTAATTATTCATGTTAGTTAAGGCAATAAAAATTGTTTTCAGAAAGAGTTAATTTTTTGCATCAGAGTAAATGAGTCTAAGGAATATAACTCCTTTTACTTGTCTCCGATTTTTCAAAATCAATAAAAACTTTGCATGCATAACACAATCCATATTAGAGTGGCAAGCTTTGGCCTTTACCTTTCAGATAAAACTGTGGCATAAGAACTGTCCTGAAAAAAAAAATATATATAATAATTAAAAAGTCATTAATGTATAAATGGCAAAATTTAAATAAACGAAAAACATTTTTTTTTTATAAAAAGGGAAAAAAATATCGAACTGCTATAATTTAAAATGATCAGTTTATATAATTAAAGTATTAATATTTGTCAATGCCCAAATGGTTAAAATCTGGTTAAATTTTTAAATTATTTTTCAATCTTTAACAGTTCCACAATAAATATTCATTTCAAATGCTAAAAAAAAATCAAAGTGTTGACTAAAAGCGAACATGAATTAATATTCTGTTTCTATTTTGACTCCACATTTTATTCTTTTACTTTTGAAATAATAAAAAAATAAATGAAAATTTATGTACCTTAGATTTTAGGAACCAATTGAGTGCTTGACCAACTCTGTTGTTCAATAAACATTTCTTACCCATCACTTTACAAATGGATTTTGCTGAAATAGAAAATTAAATTACTTGATAACTTGATACTACAAAAAACATGTTCCTGCTAATCTCTTAACATTTTTTACAGAAACACACATATGTGTACGTATATGAATACATATACTGCAAATAAAATAAAATAATTTTTCAGTAATATATTTTATTCAAAGACGAATACAATGAATTTCTTCACAATAACGATAAGCAGCAAAAAGACATACCATGTTCCTGCAAACCTCGCTTTTCACAAATATGCAACAATTTGTGTGCCTTCACTTCTGTATCCAGAGGAATGCGCTCGAGATAAAGACCCAAGTAGTCACTGTAAAACATGGGAAATTCAAGTGAATATTTTATCAGAACAAACAATTTATCAAATCAAAAAAATCTCTTATAAGTGCCTTCATTCTGTTCTGATTATTAAGATAATTACTTTTATTAATAATAATAATAATAAGTAATAAGTATTTTCCCATGGCTTTACAGAGATGTTTTCCTCAAGCATACAAATTTGTAAATGGATAAAATCTTAAATCTGTAAATACATAAATATAATTAAAATATATATAGCATAATTTACAAAGTGAAATTTCTACACATGCCAAGTTTTTTTTTTTGTTTTTTAATGATTTCACTTGCAATAATGCCACTAGAACACTGATGGTTACAAGAAATGGACAATAAAGGAACAGTATTTAAGATGGTGATTGACATTTTATTTAAATTTTTGTAGATTGCAAGGAAGCAAGAAATCAGAAGGGAGTTCCACTGGAAGAGAAAAGAAACTATTAGAATAGAACTGACGGTTGCATTTAAGCTAGTTCAACAATAAAGCAGTGAGACCTAGTTGCCAATCTTAAATTCATACATTCAAAGAACTAAGGAGAACAGTTTATCATATTTGTAGAAAAGACAGCACAAAACCACATTGTGGCAGTAAGAAAGCAAGTGAAGTCAAGATGTCAGGATCAATTACATTACAAACCCTTTGAATTTTGTCAAGACTCTTGAGATATATAGTAGAAGTATCAAAAATATGGAAGCAGTATTCAATGCATGAATGTTAGATTTATAAATGTGCAAAAAGGACTTTAACGAGAAGAATTGTCTGGCACAACACAGAGAACCAACTTTCCTAGCTAGATCTACACCTAGCAATTGATTCGATATAATGACTCCACTTTATGTTAGTGAAAAATATGAGCCCAAGATGATGTTCTCTTGGAGGTTATCATAAACCATGCTAATGGAAAGAAAAAAAAGGTTCTCTATTGTGAGTAAATGATAGCTGTTTTGTTTTGGATGCATTTAAATTTACAAGCAATTCCTTGCCCCAGTTAACAACTGATTTTTGAAAGCAGTTGCTGATTTTACTTTGTCAGATCTGTTTATTTTCATTGGATTGAAGAAGCTCAAGATATCAACAATTATTTTCAATTAAATATATTTTATATTGGACAATTCTTTTGTGAACATTCTATTTTTTCCCTCTCTAAAATTTAATCAGGTACTTTTTTATTTTGACAAATGCATTTACTAATCTTTGGATACTGTATTTTGCATGCAGAAAGTTTCCAGTGATTCTAAACAGAACCTTTACTTGGCTTGCTGGAAGTGGATATACCAATCTAATTTTAGTTAAGCATACAAGTTCAATTGTATGTAATTCAATTACAAAGTCAATTTCTTACATTTGTACTTTGAAGTACTTGCTGACCATAGAATATAATAGACTTGGGAAGAAGTAGTACCAAATGACCTTATAAAAACAAAACCAAGAGATTCTTACCTGCCATTGTCAGGACAAAAATCGAAATAATGAATTGCAACTGCCCATAAACTGAAATGCAAGAAAAATAATGATTATTTTTTTTTTTTTTTTTTTTGTTTTATACTTTAACTTTCAGAAAATAAACCAATCTTTCCAAAAACTCCTAATAAGAGAAATTTGAGAACATAAATCTTTGGAAAAAAAAGAAAAAGAAAAGAAAAATGACCCAGTCATAATCAATAAGTGGATATCAATTACCCATCCACCCGATTATTAATTACCTTTTGTGCGACATCAAACTGGATGCATATTCTAACAGAAGGTACTCCCTCAGGTTGACTCCTTGGCTGTAAATGCAAAAATCAAAAATGAATAAATCAACAGGAGTTTTGGAATAATAGATTTTGACAAAGTATTTTCAAGCAATAAATATGTAGTTAACAAGATCTTCATTTTTTTTTTTTTTTTGTCACTTCTCATAAAAATGGGGAAAGAGAACAGCAGTAGTACAACAGCTTAATAGGCAAACAAGTCTATCCTTTTTTTTAATCTTTCATGAAATAGAAGACAAAATGGATTCATTTAATAAAAAATTTCATCAAATAACAATGGAAAAAGTTACATCTATAACATTTTGATTGTAAATGTAAGTATTATCAAGAAAAAGTATGGCAATTTTACCTTTAGCTTTTTGGTAATCCTAAAATTTGAGTATAAAAATACATTTCAATACCTTTGTATTATTCACTTAACAAACTTATTAAATACATCAGAATTGTCAAGCATTTGTTAAAGTTACAAATTTATGCAAAATGGTACATCATCCCCTCCAACAACTGCATTCAATTCTTCCCTTTTTCCAACATTTTGTTTTTGTCAGCTTCAAGGAATACATCTGGTATAAGAATTAAAAAGCCTATTTTAAATGTTTTAAACAAGTATAGAATTTTATTGCATCAATAAAATTAATTTTTTAATACAATGAAATTCCCTATAAAATTTATAGATCAAATTTTTCACTATTCTATGAATAGTGAGCTTACTCTAAATGTGTCACAAAATTATTCTGACTTGCAAAGAGAAACCTTTATAACAATCTGCTTTCACTGTCATCATAAAGTAAAAAGGTTTTAATAAAATGGAGAAAAAAATAAACAAAATTGTAACTAATGTTCACAAATGAACAAAACAGTACCACTTCCCAATTAAAACAATCATAACTTGATTTAGTCTATTTTCATTGTTTTGGTTTTGAACAAGGTTTCTACCAACTGATTAGACTTCATCAGAAGAAAGTTGCATCTGGATATCTTATTTAAAATCTCACTGATGTTTTCATTCACAGAAGCAAGTCTACTTTTATGAAAAAATTAAATACTTTCTCATTTGTTCATTGCTATCAAACTTGGAATACTGTTGGTTTTTTTTTACATGAGAATAAATAAAATGCAATACTGAAATGTCCATAAGAAATTACCCAAAGTGATTTAAATTTATGGGGCAATTTTCTTTTAAATATTAATGTTTTATTCAAATTATACAAAAGAGGAATTGATACCTTTACGGAAAAAAATTTTACAATCTTTAAATAAGGTAAACAACTAAATTTGGTAATACAAATCCTACCAATAAATGGCTATTCAATATTGATTTCTGCTTGATAGAAAATAAATAAAAATAAAAATATATTAAAAAAAAAATTTAATAACAATATCATTTTTTCCATTATTTTAATAATTTTTTTTGCACATTTATGAAATTGTTTGAAAAGAACAAAAAAAATTTTTTTAATTTAACAATTGTTTCACATTCAAATAAACACAATATCCTTTTTTATTTACCCTAACATACCAATTGTAAAGGAAGCAACTATTCTATACAATGTTAAACTAAGTTCTTAAAATCTTTACTTGAAAAAAGTTGAATTACTAGTAAATTGAAGACTTACTAATTTCTTACTTCAAGACAAGAAAATGAATGTATATATCAAAAAGTATCAGGCTTAAAATCAGTTTTTGCCTTCAAGCAAAAAGACATATATATTGGTATGCTAGTAGGCATAAAAAGGATAGCAAGATATTTTTGGTAACCAAAGAAACAAAATTTAAATTAAAATCAGAAATATTCAAAAATATCAACATTAACAAATGCAAAACTAACAAAAAATGGATGCGTACAGAATTGTTCATAAGAGAGTGAGAGTGTATTTTTATGAATGGAGATTGGATCAATATTTGAATAAATGGTTTATAAAAAAAGAAAAATAATTTGGAAAGAAAGTCACTTTGTTTGATTTGTTTAATGGCATATCAACTCCTTATAGGTTATTTAATGGCAAAATTTTATTTTCTTGAGAGCTTTGAAGTAATAAATGATATGTTATTCTGCTTTCACAATTGAATATATAGTAGATGATACTCAGCTTTTGTGCTTATACATGTTTGTGTGGACATAATTACTAGAGGTGATGATATGTTTTATGTTGTAGTTTTGTGGAAGTTATATTTTGGAATATAGTTTTCAGAAATTGTAAGATATTATATGGATTAATATCATGAAAGACTTCTTTGATATTATTGGTTATTTCGTTGGTTGATTTTGTTTAGCATCAGATCAACCTTTGTAGGTTATTTAATGCCAAAGTCTAAACATTTTCAACACAATTTTATGGCTTCAACTAAATATATACTATAAATAGGTATTATTGGTATTTTTTTTTAATATAAAAATGTATTTTTATACTTTTATAGTGTTTTGTTTTCCTGTAGGCATATTATAGCGATGATTCATTAAAATTAACTTTAGCACCTCTTATATTCCACTGTATTATTGTGTTTGTCATTATTAGTTTTTTATCAATTTAGGTTGATAGTTGTAAATGGGTTGTTAATTTGTGATATAGAATTTTATGTTTTGCCTTTTTTAGTTTTGTTTTTCGCAGTGCAAAGTCCTTTCCTCTATTTCTATTACATCTAATGAATCAAACTAATTTTTTGTTTCAATTTGATCTGTGTCTTTAGACACTTTGTGTTGTGCTTTAATTGCTGCTTGTTTTGGTACTTTAGGAGATCTCCGTCTCTCTCTTGAGCTCCTGTATGATGGGGTATCTTGCTGAGTGGGATGGGAGGTGGGCAGAGTTCTGGAGATCTTTGTGATCTCTGTTTGGTAGCATTAATCTTTATGGGGGATGTTTTTGTATCTTTAGAAAATGTTCTGAGAATTGTTCTTCTATATTAGTTTCACTTTTATTGTTCAAATTAGGTCTAAATTCTTGTATAAATTTGGGCACAGTTTCGTATTTATCATTATTAGTTCTTTTGGTGATCTGTGAGTAGGTCGTGTTTTTTATGTAACCTTCCATGGTTTTGTATGCTTCCTAATAAGAGATATTTCTAGTGTGCTTTATGGTCATAATCTCTTTTTCTTTCCTCCATATTTCACTTGATCTGGGTGATTTTTGCTGCACTTAGTGCATTTGTACACATCCTCGCACTCATTTGTCATGTGGTCTGGGTCTCATTAAACACATTTGCTGCACACAGTTTTCCCATGATAGGCATCCTCATGCTGACCAAACTTTTGACATAACATCAGAAGGGTCTGGGACCTTGGTGTTATAGCCTATTTTGACTTAGAATTGTAGACATATCGATTGTTAATACATACATATTTGTGTTAGTTCTCCACGTTTTTTAATGCTGACCCTTATATCAATGATTCTTTGTTTTTTCATTCAGTTTTTACTTCTTCCATGGAGCAGTGAGACAGCTCTCTGCTTCTTATCACTCCCCTTTGAGGTGTTCAAATGTTTTGTAGGAGTAGGCCTTGATTTTTATTTCATGGAATTTTTTTCTTCTTCAGAAGTGTGTCAGTATCTTTTTCTTTTTCTACTTCAATAAGTATTGCTCCATTTTTGAAGATTTTAACATTGATTGGCATTAGTTTGAAAGATATTACTTTTTGTATAAAAAAATGGAGAGGGTTTCTTGAGTGGAGTCTCCTCCACTGATTCCAAAATAGTCTCATCCGATTCTATATATGTGTGTGCAGTTGCTTGGGAGTTTTTTTTTGGAATTACCTATATAAGTATTATTTGGAGTTCATTGACTGGGCTCCTCACCTGCAATAGAGCCCCACACAGAGATAGGCCAAGGGGGAAACCTATTTGTCATGGCCTATCAGGGCTACCCAGTCAGTACACTCACACTTTCTGAGCTTTAGTACCCAGGAGATATTAAGTTATCACCATTCCTTCTTCATGGATTTACCCTACAGCTACTGCCTTCTAATTTGGGAGAAACCAAATAAGGGTAACCAGTTGATTGATCAGATCAAGCCACTTCAACCACCCTTCTAGCTCAAGTAATGACCAAAGTGGTGTGTTGGTAATCAGAAGTATCTAAACCCGATTTCTGAAGCCCTCAATCACCAGGATCCAATCCCCAGACATTACAGGTTGCCACCATCTGTAGAGGTGCAGTCACTGTATTCTGAAGCCCCACCCAACAGAGCAAGACTAGAAATATAATTAAAAATTACAAGTCAAAATCTTGGCATATTAACAAAATTACTCTGAGTCAATTTTTTTCTGCTATATCATGGGTAATACAATATAAAAAACCAGGTAATCCCAAGTGGAAAGATTACACTAACACAGGAATTAGGTAAAACAATAACAAGGTTTTATTGTACGGAAAGTAACTAAAATGGGAGATACGTCACAGAGATCGTAGTCGTCCTTCATACGCTTCTACTACAATAATTCGTTACGTCTTTTATTTTCTCAATCACAGTTGGGGTGTGTTAGGTTGTTCCACTATAACATTTTCCTAGAGTATTTTTATATATCACTGGAATGTGTTTTTACAGAAGTTGAAGTCATTTTCAGATTGATTTATACAGGTGTATTTTCTCTGCTTTCTGATTAAGAAATAATTCCTAATAGGTATAATTATTAATTAGCTAATTATTGAATATCACTAACAATTCTCTTGCTAATTATTTTCTCAATAACTGTAGGTTAGTAGTAATTTAGGACTAACACAATTGCCTTGAATCAGAGACTGCATGGTTGCTAGGCCTTTATTTAGGATAGCCTGTGTGCTAACTATTACCATATAGCAAAATGTCCAAAAATTAAAGTTTAACCTAAATATGAAGATATGTGGGAAGGAGAAAATAAAAAAAATAAAAACAAGAAATTTGTTTAATATAGAAACAAATCAACTGACCCAAAACCAAAGTTAAATGTAACTGACCTTGAAATAAAGAAAAAAAATTATTTCATTTAAAATTATGTAAAATTTTCTTTAAAGAAATGTTTTCATCTTAATTCAGTTCTAAACAGAAAGAAGAAAATATTTATACTCTTAAGGTTCATAAGAAAGATTTCACTTATTTTCTCAGATTTACAATTATCAAAGATTTACTCAGCTTGAGATGTGAAATTCGATGTAAAACGATTAATTTTGCTTAAAAATCATTTTTGGTTTCCAATAAAATGCTCCATAAATGCATAAAAAGAAAAATAGTTTATCAAAGAAAATATCCAGACAATCAACATATTTAATTTACATCAATTTGATAGGACGTTTTTATTTCTTAAATATTCTTAAACATTCTCAGAAGGCACAAAAATATACAAAAACACATTTAAAAATAAAATAAAATATGAAATTCATAAAATGGCAAACACCAGGATTTATACTAACAAAAAATTAATGGTTGACAGAAATGTCAGAAAAATGAAATTGAAATAAGCATTTTAAAAATTATTTTTACAAATTTCATTATTTTCCTCACTTCATTCTCTTGTCCCTCCCCACTGTTCACTCATTAACCTATATGTCTAGTGTCTTCTCTAAAGAATATTTCACAACTGTCAGTTCTTCTTTCTGATGCCAATTTGCTTCTCCACTGATAGAGATAATTCTGAAAAACCCAAAGACTAAACTCATTAGTTGTTAAGAACCATGTAAGTTTTTTATCAGATTTTTTTATTCAATCAGCAATCAAGTCATATTTTTTTAAGCTTAAACCTAATATAATTTACTAATGCTAATTAAAAAAAGATATTGAATGCAACAAACATCTGGGGATGGAGAGTGGAGCAGCCAAAATGCTATAATAAAAATAACAAAGATGTGGAAAGGGATCCAACAGAATCAATTTCAAATTTTGTTTCAACAAGTGAACATCTTGATGTTATCACATTGTCCATTCTTTAGCTTTCATCAAAAGTATATTGTCCATAAGAAAACCTTATTTTTTAGAAAAATAGTGGCCATAAATATACCTACTGGATCAGTCAACTGCAACAATACTAATTACACACACAAAACCCATGTACCCAAGGGATCCTGAACTATACAGGGGAGAGTTTCCAAATACCTTCTTTGTTAAGCAAAGGAGGCCACACACTGCTAAAATCAGTCTGACATACACATGCCCAACAAACGAATATACACTGCCTCTTACAACTTCCTCCAAAGGTACTTGATGTCAGTTACCTGCACACCTTATTTGAGTAAGTTTTATCTCAGAAATACAGACAAAAATCATCTTCTCATCTCATAATTTAATGCCAGTCACATTTTTCTGAATTATTTTAACAAAGATTTTCTATTTATACAATAAAAGTGAATCCTTACAATTATTCTTTCTTTACTTGTATTTTGAACAAGAAAAATAAAAATAGATTTTGATTTATTAACAATGAAATTTCTTAGAACATTTTTAAAACAAGACAAAACAACAATTTTTCTTCTATTGGCATATAGCTCATCCCAAGTTTTCTGAAAGTAGATTAAAGCATATTAACTTTTTCCTATGAAATGGAAATGAATTGAAAATGAAATCTTCAGAATCTACTCAAAATTTTGCTTCCAACAGTATATATGACAGGGTTATTTTTACTCTTTCGAGTAAAAATAACCCTGTCATATTATATACTGTTGAAATATGCACATTTAGGCTTTAAAAAAACTATTTTTGACCCCAAAATCAATGAAATACAGGAAATCAAAAAAGTATTATTTTCTCATATTATTGATGTTATAAGTTTAATAAAGCATAAAAGCAGTAGATATAGATATAATTTCAAGAACCTAGCCCCAAAATTGCACACACCTATCTAAAAGTAAAAATTTCAGCTGTGTTTTTCAGAAATCAGAATAGAAAAGTGCAAATGATAGAAAGACAATGTGTTGAGATTAAAGAGCCTTAAATTGGAAGGAATAATAAACTTACGGCAATTTCTGTGGTTCCAAATGGCCACTGTGGTAAAGAAGGTCACCTAAATGAGATGTGAACCACCAACTACCAAGGTAAGTGCTGCACAAATAGAATAGAATATTTTTAATATTTCATAATCTCTTTTTGTTTAACAAATTAATATTTCTAGGCACTATACAATTTGGAATCTACTAAAAAATAGTAAAATTTACATATATGCTTTACTATTTTCATCTCAATTGTTATACTCACAACAGCTGGCCATCCTTCCTCAGCTGTTTGCCATTGTTGCATTCTGTAATCTTAGAATTAACATTTTTTAGATTGTTCTCATTCCACTTCTCAGGCTGAGGGTACATTTTTATATCAGTTAATACTCACAAGTCACCTTTCCCAAACTCTTATTAAGGGGAAGAAACTGATAAGTAACAGGAAGGTGGATAAGGCTAGTGAATATTAACTGACAGGTGAAATATCCTCTAAGCATGGAAAGAAGAATGACATCTACCAGTGTGGATTGAATAAATGGTTCAGTTTGAAATTCCAAAAAAGGTTACCATGTACAACAAAAACAGACAACTGAAGAAGGTTGCAAGGTAGAAAAGCTAAACAGAACTTATGCAAGAAAAAAGTAATACATTCTTTCTGGATTTGTTATTTCAATGCATTTAGAAAAGTTGACATTAAAATTAAGATGTTCTGTATAATAAAGTTTTAAATTAAATACAAGTTTAAAAAAAGTTAAAAAAATTTGTGAGTGAAATAGAAATCATTAAAATAATAAAACTTGTTAATTTCAACTTCACAGAGTAGCAAGAGAAATACCAAATAGAGGATATCAGAGGGAAAAAGGGTTTGAGAATACTGAATGTTGTATACTATGAACTTTTTGTTTATCAATAACAAAATACTACACGAATACAGACAATTGGATTTTTGATTGTGACATTCACAATCATTGAGGAATAAATAAGCAGGATGAAACAGAAAAAAAACAATCTTTTTTCAAGAGATGTTTTAACTGCACTGAGCAGTCAAAATGTGCAAAGAAAAATTGTTTTGAGAAGAGAAAGAAGTAACTTAATTGTAACTAGTTCTGCATTCTCTTTTTGTTTCTCCTCTACCAACATTAGTCTGTATATCAGATAGAAGGATAATAACTTACATTAATGGATACTTCTCAAGTACCAACCAAATAGCTTGATGGACACAAAAAACTCATAATCACTGACACTACACAGGAAAACCCCAGAACCCAGGAATTTCTATCAAATAACCAAGCACTCTTAAATGAAGAGAACTGAAAAAGAAACCAGCTTAACCCTGAAAAGATCTGAATTAGTAAAGCTGCAGAAAACTTTGTATTGATCATCACCACCAGTGTAAATGCCAAATATTGTCACAAAAAAAGATTAAAATAACAATATTTTGATACAGAAGGTTAAAGTGATGAACATTTGAAACTTTTCATATTATACATCTATGTGGAAAAGTGGACAAACTATTTTTAATGTTGTATATTGGTTTGCATTTTAAGAACAAAATAAAAAGGAAAATTCTTGACTGACATATTCTATTTCATAAAAGAAAAATATAAGATTGTTTCCCCAATATTAAAAATGTTATCTTTTTTTGACAAAATAGCTCTAAACTTTCTGTGAAAAATTCACAGAACACAAAATGAATCATCTTTTAACAAATATCATTTCTTCTCTTACCATTTTTTTCTCTCTCAAAGTTGGAATCAACAAGTTTTATGCAATGATTTTGTTTCCCCCAGTCATCTTATTTATTACCCAACTTAACTATTGACTATTACTTCATTATCTTAACTGAATTATGACATAAATGACCAAACTAACTTTGATGAAAATGAAGCCAGAGATAGTCATAGCTGCAAGTCTATGCCAAAACCCCAGAATTAAGTATATACAAAATAACAGAAAAAGAAATAAAGAAAGAAAAGTATTAATGATGAGACAAAATGTGGTCACTTGCTCTGCCTAACAAGATATTCAGTCAAATGAATAATTTGTCTAAACAAAGGTTTGGGTTATTTATCAGCAGAAAGTAAATCAAATGCTTTAGATGGCATGAATTTCACAGTTTAAGATTCTGGATTTGATTTGAAACATTTAAATGGAGCTTATATCAGAAAAAAGAAAATTCAGGAATGTGCAAATGCATCATTAAATTAAGGAATAGAATCAGAATATATAAGAAGACTGCAATCAATTTATGGATTTTTGAATGTGAAAAATAGGCAAAACAAATACTGATGTTTTACCAATTATTAAATACAACTTTGTGTTGGTTTGTAATAATGTAACGTTTTGCATTTATTTTCTATTGTGGTAGAAGATTTTCACCATCTACTCTTGAAGATATTTAAATTTTTAACAATGTTATTGTAATATCTACAAAAATACATATATTATTATCAGGTGCAAAATGCTGCTGACCTAATATTATCATTACTATTTTTAATCTCAATTTAGTCAATCAAAGCTACGAGACATGACTGACATTTGAAAATTAATGTCACCCAAAATAACTAGAATTACCTCTTGTAATAATTGTATATGTCACTATAAGTAATAAAACATAAAAGTATTAATAAAACAAAAAAAACAACACTTTAGATTTTGTGTAAAGACAGGGTTTTTCTATGAAGTAATACAAATTAAAATGGTCAATTCTTATTGATTTTATAAGAAGGTAGAAAATGGATTAACTTGATTGTTACTTACCTACAATCCCGGATCATTTGATTAATATTAAATTCAAAAACAGCAACAAGAATACTATCCAGCTGGGCAGTGTGGCTGCTGTCCCCTCGATACATGTCAAGGCAGGTCTACAAATTAATGAGATGCAGAGATAAAACATGGCTGCTTTCTTTACTTACAAAAGTTAACACACACACACCCCTGGTAAAATAAAAACCAAATATTTGCAAGTTATCCTTTTAAAATTGAAAAGACTTTCCCTATATTTGTTTTTTTTCTAACTTTTTAACCTTAAATCCTTTGCAAGATTACAACATTAAAATATTTGAACAGCATGTAAAATAACCTACTTTCATTTTTCTTATGAGCAATGGATTTATTAAAGCCAACATTCTTCATACATTCTGATCTTTTCAGCTGTAGTCATTTTGCTACAAATATATAAAAACTGTCAATAACAATTCATTGGCCAACTCAAAATCTGAATTAAAATGACAAACAAGAAATAATCTATAAGTTTATTAAACTTGGCTGAATATTATACATATGTCTCTTCACATTTTAGTTATTTTATAGTGAAAGCAATATGTTATTTATTGCCAATCATAATAGGAACACCAGCTTACAGATTTTAAAAATATTTTATCACACTGTGATAATATAAATGGAAATTATTTTGAAATGTTAAAATCTTCACACAATTTTTTATTTTTAAGTAGTCTCACAATTAAAAAAGATAATGGTGAAATTGATTTCTGATCCATCAACAGAAATCCTAAAACCTTACTTGAATGTAGTGCTGTAATTCAGAATTCTTTACAACAGGATTCTGGTAGAAAAGTCGTGATACCAACATGTGAAACCAAGTTTCACAATAATCCTTCATTTGATAAAAGACTTCTTCATCTCCACATAATATCTGCAACAGATATAATCAAATTAATCCATTCCACAAAATAGGAGTTAAAATCAATGACATAGTTTTCAAATGCATAAATAATATAACAAGGAGTCTTAATTATTAAAATAACAGTTCTTAACAGTTAAATCCAAGACAATCATTCAATTTCAAAACTTCCTCTCCAAGTAAATATTGATCAATCTATATAATACTTTATAAATGCCTGTGTATTGTCACACACGCAATAAATAAATAAATAAATATATATATATATGGAGGTGGGGGACAAGATATAAATTTTTATATATCAAGAACAATTTTAGAGAAATCTATGACAAAGCAGAAAAAGTTTTGGGTGATGTATTTCCTCCTTTACGATTTCCTCAAACTAAAGTGATGTTTATGTTGATGCAACTACACATACACAAAAAAATTTATTATTTACTAATATGAAAATATATAGAAAGTGCTTTAATCATTAAATCATCCACAATAAATTTACGTCCAGGTTCTTACAACATTTCACTTTCTTGGCAGCCCTTCTATTACCATAATGTGGATATTTAATAACAAAAGTGATGGAAACAAACAAAAAGAAATCAGCTAGACTATTTGTAGTAGTGTCAACATAAACATCTCTTTAATCCAATAAAGTTCCAAAGTACTTTCCACTTTATCAAATTTCCCATATATATATATATATATATATATATATATATATATATATATATATATATATATATACACACTCCTGGTCAAAATCTTAAGACCAGATACAAAAGGGTTAAAAAAAATATATAAAATACTGTTAATCAAAATATATTTGCAAAACATTTACATTTAATTAAGAAAAATGTAGTTTATCAACAAACAAGACAAAATTTTAAGCTTTTAATTGATTAAACAAACATTGAAAAAGTATTTTTTCGGTTGGTCATAAAGATAAGACCATATAAATAAAAATAGAAAATACAGAAAAAATAAGTCACAACGACAATTTAATATTCAGTATATACTCCATTTTTGCGAATTACTTCAAAAATTTGCTTTGGCATACTCATTATTAACTTCTGCATGAGTGTGTTTGGGATGCTTGCACAGGATGCAGCACAAAAAGCATCTACAGTTTTAAATTGCAATCCATGTTTATAAACATCCTTTGCCATCCATCCCCAAACATTCTCGATCGGGTTTAGATCTGGAGATCACAGTGGATGGCTCAAAATCATCCATCTTTTTTTGATTTTTTAATCCAGACTACTCCATTCTGGAATAAAATAGATTTGCAATGTGACGAAAGACATGACTTATCTTGGAGTTCAAAACGAGTGCAAATGTGTCTTGCCAGCAAAGTAATGACGAAAAGAAACATGGCCGTTATTGATGACGCAATTTATGCGCGCCTATCTCGTCCAAAACGAGATGATATTTGCACACATGCAAATTTTGGCAGTATCAGACTGGCATAAAAAGCAAGGTACCAGCCACACAAGGGATGTCGGGAGTCATTCGGCGGACTTTGTGCAATAGAGTTGGATGTATGAATTGACAGACGGACAAAGAGGAAGTCAAAGTAGGTGCGGCTGAGTTGGTGTCTGTTTCACGACTGCCCGGGGTAACGGCCAAGAAAGAGAGTCTCACAATCCATTTCCTTGAGGCGACCAACGACAAAGAAAGAAGAGCTGGTCTGCTGGCGAACAGTGCACTGCACTTTCTGACCCCCTCTCGTCACTTTTTTCTTTTTGTTTACTACATGCAGCAATGTAAAACTATTTCGAGTTTGATCAGGTGTTATGTTTATAAAGCCTTTGGTGAAGTGCAAAGCCTCCAGCAGTCCTTTTTCAGATATTCATTGGTAAAATTTTTTAATATCATCTTATCTTATCTTACTTATTATAAAACGCAGATTGTGTGTGTGTGTGTGTCTGTAACGTTTATATATTGGATTGGATTTTCAACATTTTTAACCGATTTCAACAAAACTTCACAGGACTACGTAAAATTACCTTGCGGTGGTTCTAACAGTGCCAAAAATTGGAATAACACAATTGTTTTTGCACGAAATCAATTTGAAAACACGATTAAGAGGCATTAATGAAAGGGGGACAACTCACTTCGGGTTAAAACCCAAGTTGTTTGTGTGTGTGTGTGTGTGTGTTCCTTTATATATGGGATCGGATTTCTTACATTTTTCAGACGATTTCAACAAAACTTCACTTTTTTTTGGCAGGTAGTGTTTCTTATTGTCTTGCACACTTTTTTCTTTATTTTTACATTCAGAATGCTTTAAAAATTCCATTTACAAAACAATTGTTTATAATAAAATTCTATTCAATCGGTAGACTCATAACGATTGAAAACAATGTTTTTGTTTGAGTTTGGGTTTGACCAATTCATAAAAAAATAATAATAATTAAGACATGCGTGTCCGTCAACCTTAAACAAATAATCTTTGTCAATTTTATTTTTCAGTCTTTATGATGCTCGATACTTGATCAATCTCTTACTGTTACATCCCCGGGCAATGCCGGGCTCTACTGCTAGTATTTTATAAATACATGTTTCTATTTTTGATCTTGTGGAACAAAGAAATGCACTCACTTGTGTCCTACCATCGATTTGCTTGTGAGACAATGAGTCGCATATTTTTTTTCAATATTTCTTGGCTTATTTTACCTAGTTCAGTTGGGTTTATTAGACAAAAAGAAGGGGTTATTAGGGAATTCATCTTTATGGTCCTTTATAGTCAGAAATGCTTGCTTGCAGCATAATGTGGTTCCTGTTGCTTATCCCTAATTTGGCAGTGATATTTTTCATTCCTCATTTATGCTTTTAATGTACGAGTCTGGTGCGTTTTTGTAAATTTTTCAGACTTCTTCATTTATTTTTTTCTCATAAGCCTTCGCATTCATGGTATAAATTTTCTTTGTTTTGTAACCTTTAATTAGAACATTTTTTGTACTTATTTTTTTATTTTATTTTTTTTTTTTTACTTCCACAGTTAATAGTTTTTGGAAACTGCTATTAACATTTTTGAATTTGAGATTTTCAATAATGCTAAGCATTTGTTTTTCAACGTTAAGTAGTTCCTCAATGACAGGTGGATATTTGTTAGTTTAAGTAACAGATATTAATGGCCAAAATAAAATGTACATAGGATGTATGGAAGATACATTTAAACATAGATGGTATAATTGTAGGCTGTCTCTTAAGCTAGTAAATCTTATGTACTCTTACCAAACTAGCTAACCATGTGTGGAATTTAAAAGAAAAAGAAAAAAAAAAACAGGCATCCGTTGATAAAGTGGAAAAAAAAAAAAAATTAAAACCATACAACAGCCACAACCATATTTGCAAACTCTGCCAACAGGAAAAATTAGCAA